AGATCCTAGGAATACAGGCTGATTTTGGGGTGATACATTTGTTTTGTTAGGAGATCAGCAAATTTTTAAAAACATTTTAATATCAGCCAAATTTATTGTTAATTTCTAATTTGTTACTAAGGCCCAACAATTTTTCTTATCACCAGCAGCCAATCAAGGGTTACATTCAATGAGTGGACATGCACATGGTAGTAATATGATTTGTTTGGTTTCTAGTTTAGTGTCATATGTTTATTAGGGCTTGTTCAACGAACTATTGTGAAAACAAACCATGGTTTAGCATGATGGGTAAACTCAGCCAGTGAATATGTAGCCACCTTAGTGCCATTTAGGCCTCCAATTTTCCCTGGGTGTTCTCTCTAGGATCTAATATAACTACAAAAACATATATTTTGGGGTCATTATCTTAAAATAATCCTTAATTCCCTTGAAGCCATCAGTTTAAGACACAGACCCAAGACACTGGGTTTATTGCAAATTCCAGCAGTCTTGTGGGCAAGGCCAGTAATGAAAGATGCTGGAAGTAGTTCAAGTACATCTTGATTGTTCATAAGTTCCCCATTCCTGTTTCAGGAGAAACATTCAGATGCTCATCTTACCATGGCTCATGAATATGCCAATGTTACATTCTAGAACTAAGATCTGCCCATGTTTGGTTGATTAATTCTTAATGAGCCTAAGATCTAGTTTAGATTTTAAGACTGGTAAGTAATCTCTATGGAGACAAAAGGCAATGCTATGTTTCATAGTTTGTTTTATCAACATTTATTTGTTTAAAACATTTATATAGCTGCCCATCTTGTACCAAACTGGGTGGCTCAGTTATGGTGCCAGGTTTTTTGTTTTAATATCTTTGGTTTTAATATTTTTATTGTTCATAGATGTGGTTTTATCTCTTGGTTTTATCTCCAACACTATTGGGTCCAAGGATGGCTTCTTGAGAAGGGGACACATCACTGCTTCCTTCAAGGCAGGTGGTGCCACCCTCTCCCATAAAGCCCTCAATTTCTACTTCAGCAGGTTAAATGAAGCCTGGTGAAACAGTGATCTGTTTTGATCTGGACAATAATAGAACCACATGTCTCATTATCTGAAATTCTTCACTTCATATGGGGTTTTTGGCAGAAGGTACCGTAGCAGCTATCAGAATGTTGAAGGAATCAGTCTTCATTCTGTTTAGCAAGTAATTACCTGCCTTCACAATGAGAGCCCAATTTATATCTTCCAGTTCTGATGGAATTACTTATGTACCCTTACACAAGCACATCAATCGACCTAGAGCAGTGTTGTCCAAACTTGGCCACTTTG